AAAAGCGGATATTACTGCGCGCGCACGCGGTTCTCATCATTCTGGATCACCCAGTAGAGTTAATTTGACCTCTGTAAGGCTTGACAAGGGCGCTATGTGTTGTCGAAAGCTCCTCAAAGGGCTCACAATTTTCTAAAAACTTTCCCAATGCTTTTCAAACCGTTTGTAAAACTTTTTGAGTCTTTCGCAATAATTATGCTGGATCTCACAGTTTTTCTTTCACATTTTTCATTTCTCTTGGGATCTTTGGGATTTTCTTTTTGAAAATTGTTGTGAAAATTTTAGAATCTAGCTGCTGGTTTTGAATCATAGAAGTAGTTATTCTTGAGTTTCGGGTAGCCTCTAGATATGAACTGCTTCCCTGGTACTGTAATTTTCTTCAGTTGCAATATTTAGTTATCTTGATTGCGCAGTAATTTTTACCGTATTTGCTTGGAACTATGTAGTTTTTCACGGCGTCTTTTTTCTAGAAATCTCTTTTCTGGGAATTTCTAGCAACAACTGTAAAGTGATTCACTAACTATGGGAGTTTTCGAAGTTCATTCTAACATCAGCTCCCATGATGCCGAGGATTTTTTTTTGAATTTTCAAGAACCTCTTCAAAACAGCCGAGTTTCGAGCAGAGTGGTGATAGCATTTTCGAATCGCTGAGATAATTGTTTTAATCGTATGTGCACTCTCTTATGAAAACGCATAGTTTCACCAGCATACTCTATTGCTGCTCTATGTTTGTCCTGTCCCACTCTATGTTTTCTTACACCGAACGTATTTGGTTGCAGGGTAAATATGTGAACGGTGCGCGATCGCGGGAATACAACGTATATTCGACTTTTCAATCACATGAACCAGAATTCGACTATTTAAAATCACTCGAGATTGAGGAGAAGATTAACCAAATCAAATGGTTGAAGAAGAAGAACGCTGCAAATTTCATACTCTCAACAAACGGTTAGTTTTTGTTGTCATGTTGTTGTTGTTGTTGATGATGTTAAAATTGCGGCCTGAACGCTTCTGTAGAAATTCCGAAATTGATCGACTTGGAGGTTCATCCCCGTTTAGTACTTGATGCTAGGGCTCGGGCAGATTCTTCATTGACCTTCTTCTACCAAGTAAAAGGGGGCTGAGACTTGATTACGACCTTAGGTATCTCCTTGTTCTCATGCCATCTCTTGATTCGTTCGTTAAGGAACGCTGGAGGTGGCTGAGGCTGTCAGTGTAGTACGGGATATGTTCGAAGTCATCAGCTGCAGAAGCTAAATGCCGTTGTTCATCGCACTTGTTATGCTAGAGCCATTATCAGCCTTTCCCGCTACAAAACAGCTTACAGCGTAGGCAGCAAGATTTGATCTGGTGAAGTACAAATTGGTAGCCATCCTTTCCCGGAACGAAAAAAATTCGAGACGAAGTAAGGTCAGTAAGGCGCTCGTCAACACCTTGGCTTCACCTCCCTCCCCCTTATACCCCTTTCGCCTCCCGTTCCTGCGAGACGTGATAACCGGTGAGCCGTCATAACGTTGGCGTCGACTAGTAGGCGTAGATGATGCATATGCGCTAGAATTCTAGTTCTGAATATACAAAAATGTGTCTTTGAAGTTGGCTGGAAAATATGCATCACATTATGCTGATTTATCGAACAATATTAGGTACCGGATATCTTAATGTCGTTTTTCTGAGTTCAGGATGTTTCGGGGCCAATTACCATGAAAAATCAGTTTCTCAGAACGTTCTCTTTGCTTATTAATACTACGTAACATGTTGCTTATTAGTCCCTATTGTTACTTTACAATTTATCTCTCCCCCAATTTTTATACCTTTTTCTGAAAATTCCTGGGTTCATTGCGCAAATTCGTATGTGTGTACCAAATGCCATCAAAGTCGGGCTGGGAGCTACAGATCCGCCAACCAAACTAACATTGCTTTTGTTGAAGGAATACTACCGTTTGGAATGCTCAACGGTTCTCCTCAGTTTTCCTAAAAGACAGTGAAGTTTTTGAAAGGATGCCGGCAATCGTCTTCAAAAAGATGGCCCTAGTTAAGCCAGCTGAGAAGGGGCTGCACCAGACTTGTGCTGAAATGGTAGGATACTTTCACTCTGATGGAATGATGATGCGCAAACATTCCTATGGATTTGATTCCGCAAGATATTCTGATAAATGTGTTCACCTGCCCCTCACGCGCGCTCAAAAAGGGTGCGTTTTTGACCCTATGTTGCAAAAAAGTCTCCATAAAAAACTGCCCACTTGGGCTGATAAGTTCTAATTTTTCTGTCGTGCAATGCAGACCCTACGCTAACCAGCTGTACACTTACTTTGTCCAGGCCTTACTTTTTAGCAAGTAACAGGGATGATTTATCAGAGGATGTCAAAACCGACCTGCCTCTACTTTTTAACTCAAAAAATTCCGAGCTTGGATCGTGCAAGGTTGCCACTCTAACTGTTAGATGAGGGGATCCTAGTAAGTCATTTTATGATTAAACTAACTCCCTCCCCGGGTTTTGAACTGAAATATTGCTGGTCCAATACTCTTGGTGAAAAAACGACATTAAGATATCCGGTACCTAATATTATGAAGTTTTTGCCAATTTTAGATAAAACGGTGAAGTTATGGAAGATAAGCGAACGCGAGAGAAAAGTGGCCGATGATTCGTGGAATATTCGACGTGGACAGTGAGTTTTCTTTTAAAGTCTGCTTCTAATTTTCCCTGGAAATCACTGTGACTCCTGTCATTAATGCTGATCTATAATTTCAACTCGCGCCCTGCTTCAGCTGAAAGGCATTCCATTTGCACGTGAATCTCTCATACCATTTCTACGAAACTCTACGAAATGTGTTCGGTTTGCAGACTATTACTGCTATCACAAAGTCGATTCATCATAAAGGGAAGCGATGGTTTTGGGCATGGTGTTCTCTTTGCGAGTTCATTCCTCTTCCGTCTTTATCTGCTGGTGGCGGTAGCTTTTTCGTCACGTGTTACAGGTTGCACTGAAGAGCAGAGAACTATGGACAATACATGATTTCTGGAGACTTATTGAGTTTCGTCCCACGAGGAAGATCTTTCAGGAAATGCCCAGCTTTCTCGAAATGGCTTTCGCTTGATGTAGGGGTATGTTCATTTTTCCTGAGCGGCCCTCTGAATACTAAAAAGGGGTGATGAAGTGGTCCGTGGTTCGAATCCTCGCAGTGACAATTTTTTTGCATTTTGTGTTGGCGTTTCAAAATTCGCGAAAAATAGCGTCAGCGTAAACAACTTATGTCATATCTATAATTAGGACCATCAGCAACCTTTATACGTAGACTTTGGCTAAAAACTGGTGAAGAAAGTTAAGAACGGCAGTTCCTTAAGAAATTTTTCTTCGCTCCTTTTTGGTATTCAGAGGGTCGCTCAGGAAAAATGAACCACAGTTCTGTGTTCCATGCACGTACCCCTATATCATGCAAAAAACCGTTTCGAGAAAGCTGGCATTTCCTAGAAGACCTCCCTGGTTACAAGAACATCATTCATTGAGGAGGCTTCTGAAGGCGGATTGTAGTTCAACATTCCCTTTGGTTTAGAAGCCGCAAGCCGTGTCGCGCCTAATATTGTTTTTGGCAATAAAAAATACAGGGAGAAATGTAAGTCGTAAATATGTGCGTTTTTAGATTCGTTGGTAGCCTACAGATTCCGAGCATAGTGCCAATGGAATTGATTGTGGAGGCCAGTCCACGAAGAGTGTATGGAAATGCTCACACATATCATATTAATAGCATTTCCGTCAACTCTGACCAGGTAAATGCTCTTTTCTGCAGTAAGACAGTTTTGATGACAGCTATAAATTCATGAATGATGTGATATTTTGCTTTATTCTTTTCAATCCCAACGTTTTGCAGGAAACCTTCCTCTCCGCTGATGACTTACGAATTAATTTATGGCACCACGAGATAACGAACGAGTCTTTTAGTAAGTTTATGCATTTCTGCTATTCTTAATATGCAATAATTCATGTTTTCTTCAGATATTGTTGACATAAAGCCAACAAATATGGAAGAGTTAACAGAGGTTATAACTGCGGCTGAATTCCATCCTCATCAATGTAACTGGTAAGTGATCCCTTTCTTTGAGCCTGTTTTATGTTCGTTATGTTATTTTCTTTTTTATTAACGGATTTCTTTGCTTTGCAGGTTTGTATACTCGTCGAGTAAGGGATCTATACGCCTTTGTGACATGAGAGACCGGGCTCTATGCGACGCTCATGCGAAAAGTATGCCGGTTGCCTGTATTTCACTGAAGAGATAAGCAACGTATTCAGTAATTGGTTTCAGTATTCGAAGAGGCAGAGGATCCCAGCTCGAGGTCGTTCTTTTCGGAAATTATTGCTAGTGTCAGTGATATCAAGTTCTCACACAATGGGCGGTATCTTCTGACCAGAGATTACTTGACAGTTAAGGTATGGATACTGATTTTGGCCTTCGATATCTTTGACTTTTTGATATGTGTTTTTCATGACCTCACAACGTAAAGGGCGATTAGACGCACCTTTTTAGATGACAGAGGGACTCCTTTTTCCTGAAATGTCTTTTCACAGACCCGTTCTCGCATTTTTCATCTTTTTGAGTCTCAATCATCCAAAGAATTTTTTGGTAGCGATGTGAGGACAATTTCACCATTTTTCGCTATTTCGTCTTTGAAAGCCATGCTAAAACAAGATGGACATTGTGCTTATAATGATGGCTAGTATACACTGAACTAATTTCTTCATCAGATGTGATAGAATATTCATTTGAGTGTTTCACTTTTTGGGAGTGTGAATCTTAAAGCATTTCTCTACAGCACGTAAGAGTTGAAAAGTCAAAAGCAGATGAATTGGCCTTGTTCATTGCAAGAAATTTCAAAACTGTTTCGCTTCTACAGCAGTGGCGTCATTTAACCCTTTCCGGACCGCCTGACACACATGGGGTGTCAGGCCCAATTTGCTCCCTGTGGCCGCCTGACACACATGGGGTGTCAGGGACTTCAAGGAGTAATTTTTGCGAGGATTCGGTTTTTCTACAAAATGTTTTTTGTTGTTACATATCTATGTAACATACTTTATGCCGTACGTATGAAAAAATCTGGACTACAATCTCGAAACATACAGGGTGTTCCATAAATACTGCAACACGTTTCTTAACTTGTAACTTCTCTCAAAGTAGACATATCTTCATGTGGTCATACACAATTCTTAGCCAGTCATTAAGTAGTTGAAAGGAATGACATTTATTCGATAAGTCCCTCTATCGCTGTCAGTATGGCTCCCAGTTGCTTCGAACACAACTCTAGTGTTTCCCGCATGGCATCCTGCAGTGCCTTCTTCGTAACTTTCTAGAGAAAAGGTCTCAGCTCCTCTATCTGGACGCATTGTTTAGTGCAGGCTCTGTCCTCTCATACAGCCCAAATAGGATGGTCCAGCAGGTTGAAATCGAGAGATATGAGAGCCATTCCTTTGAGGACGTGAAATGGGGAACAGTATCGTGAAACCAGTCTTAAACAATTTTTGCCCTTTATGCAGAAGCTGGTTACCTTTGAAAGGAACGTCATTCCTCTTTGAAGAAACCAGATACCACAACAACAAATGGTGCACTGGAGCATTCGTTAGCTAGGTCTGTATCGAGTTTTATTCGCTTTTCAACAGACGGTTGTGGTGAGCCACCTGTGATTGAGACCCTTGCCCAAATCGTGATAAAGATTGGCGGCTGCTTGTGACGAATATTCCTTTCACTCTGGTTGGACTCCACGGGACCTCATGTGGGCAACCTCACAGTTTGAAGATTGTAGCTCTGCTCCATAGGAGAAATTTTGTCGCCGATAAAAACGGTGCTCGCATGATCCCCGTTTTCGGCCCTCGACACCAGCTCTTTGAACTTTTTGTCTGTGCTGTGCTCCTCCCGTTGTATTGAGCAGTGGTGCGTATGCAACTTATAATGGACTGTGAGCACTTGTTATCTGACCACTCTCCACATGACTGTGCTTAGAAACTTCAGCGTCCTGGTCACCTTTCTCGAACCAGCCCGGGTATTGCAGTCGTTTCGCTTCTTCATGCTTTTCCTGAGATCCAAGATGCCAGAACTTGTCCGGCGACCGCAACAAAGACTACCTTCATTGGTCTTCTCTTCAGTACACGGTAGGCCGCGAAGGGGTTAAAAGTCCAAAGAAGTGCGATGTTCATCACCGTATGTCCGATCTAACTGTATGAGGGATTATGACCTCTATGGAGGTTTAGATGCACTATGAGATGTACAACGAATGGTAAGCGGTGCACTTTAGCAACGTTATCCACAAGAGGTTATAGGAAGTGAAGGTATGCCAACCTTGGGAAAAAGACTACAAACACCCACATAATTGAAGCTCAAAATGTGTTGCAGTATTTATGGAACACCCTGTAGTCCTAAAAACTAACAAAAACTAAGGTTAACTTCCACTTCGTTCTTGAAGAAAACAGTTATAACTCATTTGAAAACAATTCATACAAAAGCAATCATGACATTTTGTACACGTCGTAGCTGATACTATTGAACCTAAAAGTTTTGGATACTTTCTAATCCCTTTTTCCTCATTACAACTTATTTTGAACAATTTTCACTCCTGCCTTCCTTTGTGTGGCCCTGTCACTTTTATTACAGGACGGCTTTCTGTTATATTTACCACAAATATACTTTAAGAAATGAGAAAGACACAAACGAGAATAATATTGGTTTTTATGGGAATACAGATTAAATACATGATGTTTATGCTCGCTGAGTAGCGCGCGACGGTGAGCATAAAAAGGCGCCGGCCACACGCGCCCGCCACGTGAAAAGTGCGCGGTCCGGAAAGGGTTAATGAGCTTATTCGCCGCGGCACGGCCAATTGCCACCAACATCAATTTAACTATGCTTGCAATTGCCGGCTGAAACAGTATGGTTTTTCTAATCCTGCTAGAGATTGCTAAAGTCAACCTTCCCCTTCCTAATTATGAGCTAAACCTGCCATTTCATTGTGTGTTGCTGTTAGTATTACAAGTATTTGTGTACAAGTGCAACAATGAATCGGCGCTGGTCCCCGCAACCGGCCAAGTAAGTGTCACTTTTTCTTAAAATACTTGAAGTAGATCCATTCTTAAATCAAAATTATGGGTTATAATGTTGTGCAAGATTATAAACTTTTTCGGCATAACTATGAAATTTGGAATTGTTTCGACATAAGCTTAAAAACTAAGAAGGTGGGCCAATTTTCAAAGCTTCTTAGTTTCTTTGTTTGTGATCGAATAGCTTCCAAATTTCGCCATAATGATACCTATATGCTCACAAGTAATAAACAATAGCTAGAAGAAAAATTTCTCACGGGGAAAAATTCAGGGGGTGTCGGACCGCCTGACACACATGGGGTGTCAGGCCCGATTTGCTCCCTGTGGCCGCCTGACACACATGGGGTGTCAGGGACTTCAAGGAGTAATTTTTGCGAGGATTCGGTTTTTCTACAAAATGTTTTTTGTTGTTACATATCTATGTAACATACTTTATGCCGTACGTATGAAAAAATCTGGACTACAATCTCGAAACATACAGGGTGTTCCATAAATACTGCAACACGTTTCTTAACTTGTAACTTCTCTCAAAGTAGACATATCTTCATGTGGTCATACACAATTCTTAGCCAGTCATTAAGTAGTTGAAAGGAATGACATTTATTCGATAAGTCCCTCTATCGCTGTCAGTATGGCTCCCAGTTGCTTCGAACACAACTCTAGTGTTTCCCGCATGGCATCCTGCAGTGCCTTCTTCGTAACTTTCTAGAGAAAAGGTCTCAGCTCCTCTATCTGGACGCATTGTTTAGTGCAGGCTCTGTCCTCTCATACAGCCCAAATAGGATGGTCCAGCAGGTTGAAATCGAGAGATATGAGAGCCATTCCTTTGAGGACGTGAAATGGGGAACAGTATCGTGAAACCAGTCTTAAACAATTTTTGCCCTTTATGCAGAAGCTGGTTACCTTTGAAAGGAACGTCATTCCTCTTTGAAGAAACCAGATACCACAACAACAAATGGTGCACTGGAGCATTCGTTAGCTAGGTCTGTATCGAGTTTTATTCGCTTTTCAACAGACGGTTGTGGTGAGCCACCTGTGATTGAGACCCTTGCCCAAATCGTGATAAAGATTGGCGGCTGCTTGTGACGAATATTCCTTTCACTCTGGTTGGACTCCACGGGACCTCATGTGGGCAACCTCACAGTTTGAAGATTGTAGCTCTGCTCCATAGGAGAAATTTTGTCGCCGATAAAAACGGTGCTCGCATGATCCCCGTTTTCGGCCCTCGACACCAGCTCTTTGAACTTTTTGTCTGTGCTGTGCTCCTCCCGTTGTATTGAGCAGTGGTGCGTATGCAACTTATAATGGACTGTGAGCACTTGTTATCTGACCACTCTCCACATGACTGTGCTTAGAAACTTCAGCGTCCTGGTCACCTTTCTCGAACCAGCCCGGGTATTGCAGTCGTTTCGCTTCTTCATGCTTTTCCTGAGATCCAAGATGCCAGAACTTGTCCGGCGACCGCAACAAAGACTACCTTCATTGGTCTTCTCTTCAGTACACGGTAGGCCGCGAAGGGGTTAAAAGTCCAAAGAAGTGCGATGTTCATCACCGTATGTCCGATCTAACTGTATGAGGGATTATGACCTCTATGGAGGTTTAGATGCACTATGAGATGTACAACGAATGGTAAGCGGTGCACTTTAGCAACGTTATCCACAAGAGGTTATAGGAAGTGAAGGTATGCCAACCTTGGGAAAAAGACTACAAACACCCACATAATTGAAGCTCAAAATGTGTTGCAGTATTTATGGAACACCCTGTAGTCCTAAAAACTAACAAAAACTAAGGTTAACTTCCACTTCGTTCTTGAAGAAAACAGTTATAACTCATTTGAAAACAATTCATACAAAAGCAATCATGACATTTTGTACACGTCGTAGCTGATACTATTGAACCTAAAAGTTTTGGATACTTTCTAATCCCTTTTTCCTCATTACAACTTATTTTGAACAATTTTCACTCCTGCCTTCCTTTGTGTGGCCCTGTCACTTTTATTACAGGACGGCTTTCTGTTATATTTACCACAAATATACTTTAAGAAATGAGAAAGACACAAACGAGAATAATATTGGTTTTTATGGGAATACAGATTAAATACATGATGTTTATGCTCGCTGAGTAGCGCGCGACGGTGAGCATAAAAAGGCGCCGGCCACACGCGCCCGCCACGTGAAAAGTGCGCGGTCCGGAAAGGGTTAACCCTTTCGGCCCTGGCGGTGGCAATTGCCACCACCAAATTCAAACGCTTGCATTGCCGCTGAAACAGCATGGTTTTTCTAATCCTGCTAGAGGTTGCTTCAGTCAACCTTCCCCTTCCTAATTATGAGCTAAACCTGCCATTTCATTGTGTGTTGCTGTTAGTATTACAAGTATTTGTGTACAAGTGCAACAATGAATGGGCGCTGACCCCCGCAACCGGCCAAGTAAGTGTGACTTTTTCTTAAAATACTTGAAGTAGATCCATTCCTAAATCAAAATTATGGGTTATAATGTTATGCAAGATTATAAACTTTTTCGGCATAACTATGAAATTTCGAATTGTTTCGACATAAGCTTAAAAACTAAGAAGGTGGGCCAATTTTCAAAGCTTCTTAGTTTCTTTGTTTGTGATCGAATAGCTTCCAAATTTCGCCATAATGATACCTATATGCTCACAAGTAATAAACAATAGCTAGAAGAAAAATTTCTCCACGGGGAAAAATTCAGGTCCGAAAGGGTTAAAAAAGGGGTCAAGTTATTATACTTCAAACGCTGATCAATGTCAAAGAATTCGAGATAGTCAGCTTAATCTTATAAACGTTTTTTGTACTACCTGCTCTATCTTCTTGTTGTCGCTATTTTCGGAGGCTCTCGAAAACGAACTAAGAATCTACAGCAGAGTGTAAGCATTGCTGAAAGTGCGAATGAAACGGAGCAATTCCATCGACGATTTCCAAAATTTGTTTCATCTTTGCCCAGTAGCCTGCCCTGGAGATTCAGTTTATTCTTCTTCGAACTTGTCGTTTTTTTTACATCCTTTGTATGTTAACATTGCCTCATTGAAGGTTTGGGATATTCACATGGAAAACCGGCCAGTTGAGACCTATACTGTTCACGATCACCTCCGCACAAAGTTGTGCGCGTTGTATGAGAACGATTCCATTTTCGACAAGTTCGAATGCGGATGGAGTGGTGACGACCAGTGAGTTTCTTACTGTTACTACTACTTTTTTTTTACAAAATTGACTGGGTTGAAAGTTAACTGGTGTCCCTAGCAGTCTTTTGGAGCTCGAACAAATAACATTGTTCTCGATTTGAACAGGTACTCCCTCATTTCATCTCAAGCTTACCTCTAAAAGAACTGCTTTTGTGTGGAACTTCTTCAAGTTAACCACTGTTTACTTCTTTTAATGTTCTTTTTTTCACAGGCATGTGCTAACTGGTTCCTACCACAATTTGTTCCGTACATACGCTCGTGGATCGTCGGAGGCAAAAATGTGGGAAGCGCGACCGCAAGAGCCGCATTCGTTGTTACGGACGCGAAGAGTTTGCGGTGGCGCTGGTGCTCGTGCTCAGAGAGGTCGCCGACCGGTGGGAGATGTGAGTTTTGCTGTCTTTGAAGTCTTCAGTGAAGTTGAAAATAGTTTTTTTTTAGCAGAATAACGATGACGAACTCGCCGCTGATGCGCTTGACTTCAATCGGAAAATCCTTCACGTCGCGTGGCATCCGAGGGATAACATTATAGCCCTTGCTGCCACAAATAATCTTTACATATTTTCTGACAAGTGACCAATAGCTCAGGTACTTTTGTTGTAGTATTCTAATTTTTCTTTTCCTTATGAAATCAGTGTGGAAGGAGGCTGAAATGGTTAAGTAAGATGAAGTGATGTTTTTTCTTGGTTTTCTTTGCGTCTTTTTTTTTGATGCAGCCTTTGTTTTCTTAATTACCATTAGTTTATTTTTGAAAATTCTAGTTGGTAATTCGGAATTTGCACCATGTAATCCGTACATAACCCGAGGTCAGGCGAAAGATTGGGGAGACGGATCGTAGCATTGCGGGTAGTGCAGGGAGGAATGTTGACAGGGATGGCGATATTAGAAAGCAGTTGTTGGATTTTGGAGATCAAAAACTGATCCAAATTCCGCATTAATTTTTTTAAAGCAGTTATTAGTCATCAGGAATTTGGAAAAAGTTGTGTAGCGCAGGTTCTGTTTTACAGGTCACTCTGGATATATTTCGGCGACATGATCCGCTTGGAGTGCATTGAAACTGTTAGTGTGATAACGCACCTCATTTCCCTCTCCAAATTCCCATGCTCATCCTCATATATTTTTTTTGGATTTGCTAGTTCTAACTAGCTTAGGGCTGAGCAACACTCACCATATTTCCTTCGTATGCAAGCGACCGTATGATCTTGAGTTTTGAAGTCCGCCTCACCTCATTCTTATAATCACGGCCATGGCTATTGTAAAAATGCTTTCGGATCCCAGATTTGATTTGAGTTTGAAAATGAATTTGAAAAAATCAATTCTTACCGTACACATGTAGGCTATCGTGAAACGCACTATCGAAATTCCGGGGCTGAACCCATGATCAAAGCACTTGTCAAACGTTCGAAAAACTGTGAATGCTATAGGCAATCGTTGAAACGCTAGTTTTTGGGATTGTTGTGTTTCTTAGTAGCGTTCGGTGTAAGTTATATATAATTCATGTCGATAAGTATTCTGGGTGTAGAATTTAAATTGAAAAGCAGTATGTTGGTGCACAAGTGATTTTGCCTCTCCGTTATATTGTCTGCGTTCAGAGTTGCAGTCGGGTCGGCTCAGGGTCAACCGTCACTTTTGTACTTTTTGAACATTTCATGATCCGTGGTAAGGGGGAGGGGGGAGGAAGAAGAATGTCCCAATGTCCCATGAAGGGGGGGGGGGGGGGAGAGAAGAATGTCCCCGGCAAATTCTCTTATTTTTTATACTTTACGTTTCTTCGGTTAACTCAAATTAGCTACACTGGATGCTATTTCTAATTTTCAGACATTCTTGGTTCAATCAATATGTTTATTATAATTACTGTGTTGGTCGTATAGATTATTCAACATATTTAACACTTTCTGTTTTTGTTTTGGTAATAAAATTATAACAGTTGAATACTATTTAGAACTATAGCTTCTGTTCACTACGTATTCCGATGAAACAATCTTTTACAGCTGTATTTTCCTGGCGGTGAAGATCCACACTTCGGTCAACTCCGTCGAGGTAGCCATGGCTTTCAGTTTTTGCTATCAGTCTACTTTACAATGTCTTCTTTGTTAACATTTTCTATGAATCGTTCACGTTGTGTATCTTCAATAGCTGTTAGCGAGTACGTATCGCTAAAGACTGGCTAGATACTGTGTTATTTTGTGGTCTTTATTTTCATAACTTCTTTCTGTATAGTTCCATAGAATTTGTGTAAATTTAGTAGTGATTATTATGTGGAGAGACTGTTGCAACGTTTTGTATGACGTTGAGTGATATATAATTGGTATGCGATTACGCCGTGAACGCGATGATTGTGGAGAAAGCGTTGTGACTTAGCTATACCATTCATTGTATTCTAGGTTCATCCATTCTCTTTTGATATCTTATAATTATAACATATGTTGTGTATTACTCGTTTCATATGTAGTCAGCTTAGTCCGTCGTCGTTACGTCGAAAGGTCGTTTTTGCAGCGACGCGCGTATCGAACTAGGGACCAGCGACTGTGTCTGCACTCGACCTCGCCTGTTGTATGTTTCTCCGGTGTAGCACCGGGTTCGCCCTTTAGTTTACCGTTTTTTCCCTTGCGCTCTGCTTTCCACCGCACACCAGTGAATTGCAGCCGTGTTCTTACTATTTTCGTAGATAGAATCACAGGTTGTGCAACTCGTGTGGGTGGTTGTACTGGTAAGTCCGGTGGTGTGTTAATGATCAATTGTCATTGTATAAGGCTGATGTCATACTTGGCGAATTGAGCGATTCGCTAGCCGCGACGCGACCGCGAACGCTAGTGAGTCGCTCGATTCGCAAAGTCCGACTTTGGCCTAAGTCCCCTCTAATTATTTATGTGTGTGTGCGTGTTTGACCACCGCGAAGTGATTCACTTGCGTCGCCCGCGAGCGTGTAAGCGACGCGTTAGCGACTAGGTATAAATGAGATTCTATAGGCGGCTTATGGTACCACACATCTGGCTGCCGCGTGTCTCTGATTAATTATATCGTGTTATGCAGGGAGTGATGTGACTCGAGCGCTACAGCCATTTGAGCGAGTCGCGTCCTATCGCCTGGTATGTAATTGTTTTCTTATTCATCTGTTCGTACTGGTCTTCTATCAACCACAGTTTGTCTATATATACACATCGAACACATCCCTCATTGCGAGTTCGTCGACCGTCTTTTAGCTAAGAATAACTATTATATATGTTGATTGTTCGAAAATTGGAATCCGAGAAATAAATGGCTAAAAGTACCAATTGATTATATGTTTATCGATTTATTTATACGATAAAAGACAATCTGTTTATACATATCGGCACAAACAGTGGTGTGATTCACAAGATTTTGAATAGTCGAAAGATCGTTATACCTAGACAGAAATTGACGATGAGCAATATGACGGTACCATAGTTGCGCATGGAACGTTGCACCAGCACTTTCACATCGTACGTCATGACGGCCACTGAAAATGAATGGAGTTACGAGGTGAGCGTCTGAAGGTCACTACTTTTGAAAGGTGAAGGAGGGGGGGGGGGGGAAGAATTGCGATTTTTAGCAATGTAGTGTGAGCATGAAGTTATTGTGGGCTGTTTTGTGCTCATGATGTTTCTTGTTTGCTGTTTGGCCTCGTTTTCAGAGCAACCCCCTCCCCTCCCTTGTTTGAGATTCGTACTGTCCTAGCTAGGAGAAATTATAGTGATGTGTCTTAAGCGAGTCTGAAAATGATGAAGAAATCCATCGTGACGAGTAGGGGTTGGTAGTCATCCTTTTGGCGTACTTAGTCCTCAACCATCGTGTATTGTCCGCAACATGGTTACGTATGTTGTGCTGACACTTTTCTGCGTATAACTTTCTTGATAGGTCCCTTTGCCGCGAGGGCCAATATACCATATATCGTTTATTAGATCCTCCCCTACCCGATCCATTATCCATCTTTCTCTTTTATGAACATCAATTTTTATCGTGAGTTTTGTTTAATAAAGCCACAACCTCAGATCAAATTGGTGGGATAATAGCGGTCGATAAAGAAATTGTGATTTTGAAGGTGAGGGTCTGGGTGGGCAGTGGCGCGAGCATCGCGGAAATGGCCCAGCTAGGCCGCTGGAAGCACACCCTTTGCTTCAAAACGCGCATCGTTTCGCACCCTTTGGAAACTCGCCTTCTTTTACACTAGATGTAGTCCCCTTCCAGACCTTATCGTGCAGTCCTCCTCGAAGTACTTGCTCCTTTCACTCCCCGTTTGGCTCGTCCTAATCTTAGCATAACTGGCCCCATCTCGGGTGTTCGACAATTTTGTTAAACAGTAGCACCACCAACATTGCGTTGGGCAAAATTCTTACGATACCATCTTATGCCCGTCAAAGTGGTCTCCCCATGGAATCCCCTTCATTCCTTCTTGTGGAGGTCCTACCCTAAACTACGAACCACCTGCGTACAATCGTAAAAACATCACCAAATCACTGAAAACCGATTCCCATCCCTCCATGAAATGAAATGCGATTACACTTACAATCAGTGCAGATACCCGTCATACATATATGTAAGTCGTTGGGGTTCTATCAACACAAAGTATTATATTCTCCTCGAAGCAAACTCGCGCTAAGAAAACCCAGAAATGTGAAATTATGGATTAACTTGGCGGGTTGGAGGGTTTATTATTTTGATCCGCCCTAGTTCTGATCTATGCACGGATATGTGAAAGCTGAACCTATCCTTTTTTGTTAAGCAGTTCCTTACCGTATTGCTTGGCTCGATAGAACGGTCCTCCTTCGGCTCTTTCCCTCCAGTCGTGGGCAACACCTCGCGAAATGGTGGTCGTCCAAAGTGCGTTCGGCTGTTGTTCGTCCTCAATGACACCGTCGATCACCTTAAACAGGGTCACAATTCCTCACAGAGTTTGATTTGTGATATAATTGTCATCGTACCTTACGACCATCCGAAATGTATTCGACTTTTGGTCGCCGTCTTTTCTGAAAATGAGGATGAATGAGTGGTGGTGATCGTATTTAGATGTTTCAGCTTCTGCTACCTCAGGAGGATAATTTATAAGCATATAAAGAGGCGCTTCTTATTATGGGCTTAGCACGGATTAATAGTTTTTTCTGCTAGAACGCAGTGCTGAAACGCTGTTTCGATCTCTAGGGGTTCTTGCGGACTGCTACAGCTTCGTCAAGGCGAATAGGGGCAAAGTCGAGGCTACACTTTCAGAATTCCATTGAATTTTTTATTCCTGTGTTTTCATAGGTTCCTCATGGTCGCATAGAACTGGTCAACACCTGCAGGGAAAAGCAAATGTGGGTGAGGGTCTCGAAAAATCGCAAATAGACAAGGAAAGTAAACTGCAAAGTAGCACTGGTCTGACTTTTGAGTCTACGCCACGCATTGGGTCGATTGCCGTGTATTTGAAAGGCTCAAATAATTGCAGATCGTTATCTCAGTGATGTCAATATGTTCAGCCTCGCTTGGAATAGTCATTCACGAGGTTTCAGTTGGTTTCTGG